AGAAAAAAAAAGGAGACATATGTAATACTCTTTGTAATACTTTAAGCAATAAAACAATAAAAAAAAAGACAAGACAAGGAAGAAAAATTGGTAAAAGGTCTGGAAGATCAACCATATGGCCCATATTTCTTAGATGCTGAAACTGAGGCATAAATTGATATAAGATTTGTCTAAAATGACTTCATAATAAATTACTGCTAATTTGAGTTTCTTGATTCCATCACAATCTTTGTGGTTGAAAAAATTTTGTAAGGTGCAAGGTTTAGAGATATGGACCTCATTTTATCATAGGTTTGGACGAGAGGTTATTGCATTCTGAGTTCAAAATAACAAATTCTTCATCTACGTGTGTGTGTGTGCTTCTGAGCAGTTGCATGTTAGAGAAGCGGCACGGAGCCATCAAAACTAGTTGGTCAGGATTACTTTCTTAAACCGTCGCTTTACTCAGTAGCTTGATAAAGGAGAGGTCGCAGACGTGAAAGGCAGACTTAAAGATGGAGTTTTCAGAACCCTGCGTCTCTGGCCTCCTCATGGCTCTTTGGTTTTTGCTGAGATAATTTGTCTTGCTTTGCTGACCTTTTAACTTGAGGAATTTGGGTTTTCTTTTTGCTGTAAGACATTAAAGGGCAGTAGATTCCAAAGGAGACTGAAATGATCTCTTGGAAATTCAAGTGTGATGTGAGAATACACTAGAGAGGAAGATGTGGGGAGTCAACAGCATCCCACACGCGGGCCGAGGAATCAGGGGTGGTGGCATGGCACCTCCGTGACACACAGATCCCCGGCGCCTCAGCCCCCACTTGGAGAAGGACTTGAGGTGGTGCAGAATTTTCACTGGCTTTTGTTTGTGGGTATTGGGTGATCGCTGACGGTATTGGTGTCTCAAAGAAATAACTAAGTGTTGGCATTGAATAGCCTTTGAAAGTTGCTTTACGACATTTTTGGTCTCATTTTCTTTGTTGCTTTTTTTGATCTAAATTCTCAACTCTTTCAGAACTGCAGCAGGAAATTTAGATTTAACCTCAAGAGTCAATGTTTTGTCTTGTGTCTCCTCTAATATACTACAGATGTGAGGATGGCTGTACTTTACTTGAACACACTGAATTTCTGCCTTACTCTTTTCTCTTTTTAATGGGAAACAGTCGAACTCTCGTCCTCATTAAACTCAGAGAATCCAAGTTGTACTCTTGAGAATGTACATGGAGAGAAGATATATTTAGGCTATTTACTTAGATTACAAATGCTTAAACTGTTTTACTATTTGAGGGAAAACCTTCTGTCCCAGGGAAGGACACTGTAAAACAAAGAAAAATATTAAAGATTCAAAAAGTATTCGTTTAAGAACCAAGAAAGTGAGCCTCTGCAATGCTCTTTTTTGACGAGAATGAGTGTGGGTTCATTGCCTGGGCAGGATGTAATATGGGAGATGCCACTTTTTAACACTCTGCATTCCAAGTTTTCAACGTCTACATTTTCTCTCCAGAAACATAGTTCTCAATTGTGCTATTGCAGAGCATTGCACCAACCACCTGGATATGTCACCAAAGTTGAGATGACTGTACTAGCTCCACGCCGCATAGACCCTCCTAGGTCACCATGTCTAGTGACTCTGTGGTACAGTGAAGCCTGGTCCTGCGACCAAAATGCTGCATTTGCCCGTCAGTACTGAACCAACAAGCTGACAATTCTTTCCGGTTGGTGGTGAATTTATTCGCGTTAAAAACACTGTGTAACATGGATGTGGGATGCGAGCTTATTAAAGGGTTTCGGTACCATTTTGTTCACCAGCCTGGTGACCTGATATGCTTCAACTAGGCCGAACCTGTGTCACAGTTCTGTCTGCATCCTCTTCCGGTGATCTCAGGTACTGACTTTTTTGTGGACTTGCGTTACAGAGGAACATAAACATGCATCCATGTCCTCCGGTGAATCACCGATCTGTTTCCCCTGATAGTTACAGCCAATCATGAGACAGAGCCGTCCAAAGATGGAATGGTGGCCTCCCCCGGGATGTGGCTCTCAGTCAGCGGGGCCAGGTGTGGCAGGCAGAGTGAGGCACGCACCCCGGTGAATAAATACACGGTGGGGATCTGACAGAGACTCAGGCAATGAAGGAGCAGTTGGTGTAATGACGTCCATGGCCCCTTCTCACTCCTAGAGGCTTTGGTCTGCACAGGAGATTCAGGCTTTCAGGGCTGACTGTCTGGAGCCCAGTTATGAAATGAGCAGCGTGGAGTCATGTTCACATCCGGCCCACTAAGGGCCAGGGAACTGCTGAGAATTACACGTGGATGCGGCCCTGGTGTGGAGACTCCGCATTCTGTGGGGGGAACGTTTCCCATCACTTAATGGCCGGGCATTGACATTCTCTTTGAAATGTAACTTTTCTATCATGTGTTAATTAGGAATGCTGGGCATCTGATTTAAAAAAGCCCGAACAACCCGTGTTAGCTGGCACCTCTAAAATAATAACTGTACGACTATAACAACACACCAGTCGTCTTGTTAGTGACACCACCACTGCAGGCGGGGATTTAGTGTATTTGGCCGAGAGCTATATCATTTTCTAAGAAGACAGTAAAGTATTTCTGTTGTTGTCCCCACACCTTATTATTGTGGAAATATAACAACTTTTCTTTGATAAATGTCTGTTCCCACCTCCCCATCCTGCCATGTGTTCCTTGCTTTTCCAGACCTTGCATCACAGTTACATATGTGAGCTTCAATCTAAAAGGTAAACTAGAAGGCGCTGGAGGGGAGTTAGGAGCGTTGGTTCAGACTGGCCGGGGTCTGAAACTCAGCTGTGAAACTCACTGTGTCGCATCGTTTCCAACTTCTCCTTAGATTCTTTGGGGAAAGACCCTGGGATTCGTGAAATCCTGTTTAAGGCAGGCCCTGTTTGCCACGGGGGGGGGGGGGGGGGGTTGGGCCAGGGCTTTGGCAGGAACAGGGAGCAGCATGGGAGGTGAAAGGCGAGGTCAGAACTTCCCACGTCTTTGCTCAGCGCTGTTACCCGCTTGCTCCTGGTTCCCTGGTTGGCAGGAGACCTGAGGTGGAAGCAAATGCATAGCCAGGCAGGATGCTCAACAGTGAGGAGCCCGGTGTTCTTGAAAGGCAGTATTTAGCGCAAGTTCTCTCGTGTGGCCAAGATGGAAGCGTGCTAGACTTCCGGGAGTTATTGTGGGGACCAGGCGCTTTCTAGTAGGCGCTTGCATGGTTTCTTTAGGGGAAATTGGAAGAAAATCCCAGAGAAAGATAGTTTTTTATGAAGCTTTGCTCCTATGTGTCTTCCCTTCTTGCTCTGGGAGCACCCAGGCTGTTTATATGCAGATCTGGAGTGGCTTCTCCAAGCGCCTGGGGCAGGGGCTCATTCGCAGTGGAGGTGTGAGTCCTTGAAGCCAGTGTATCTGCTGCACAGTCAGTAACCATCTAGCTTTTGGCTTCCGGCCTTCAGAGCTGGGGCGGCAAACATTATTTCAGGATGCCCTTCCCATATGTGAGGATCCTCTATAAAACTTGGGTTTGTATATAGACGATTCCTGGATGAAGGAACTTGAATTTAATTGGATTGTTAGTCTTCCTTTTGTTAAGTTGTGTGATTCCTTTTATATTGTGGATATTAACCCTTTATCAGATGTATCATTGCCAAATATGTTCTCCCATACAGTGGGCTCCCTGTTCGTTTTGCTGACGGTGTCTTTTGCTGTGCAGCGTTTTATTTTGCTGTAGTGCCATGTGTGTATTTTCTCCTTAGTTTCCTTTGCCTGAAGGGACTTGAATTTAAATGGGTGACTTATGTTTCGACATTTATACCTGCTAATGATTACAAATTGTTCTGAAAGTTTACTTATGGACAGTCTAGCAAAAGGTACTCAGAATCTGGTGACATGACTGTTCTGATTCATAATTAACTTACCAGGGTATGACTGACATTTCAATTAGCTTCGTTGATACAGGGGGTGATAAGCCTCTAGTTCAATGGCAGCGTCAGAAGGACTCCCCTGTATGTGCCTGTCTTGTCAGGCGCAGCGCATCACTGACAGCTCTCCTTCTCTTGGGGAAGGTGTTGAACTTGGGTGACGTGGGAGGAATCGGGCTGTCGGAGGACATCTGTGTCCGAACCACTCCACCTGATGGGCAAGTGGCTCAGAGTTGCCTCCGATGGGGGTGTCTGGGGCAGGAGAGGGTTCAGGGGAAGGGCGGGCTGGCCGGCCAGGGCTGCAGGGCACAGAGATTGCATGACAGCAGCATCCAGGCCACAGCACAAGTGGGTGCCAGGCTCGATGAAGGAGCAACCAGGGTAGGGGGGGAAAGACTGGGCCTGAGGCTACGGGAGGTATCCGAGGACACTAGCCGAGGGAGTGAGGAGACAGCAGCAGGCAGCAGACTGCAGCCTACCTAATCAGGAGCGATAGGTAACCGGCTTCCTTATATTGCAATGAAAATGTGTCAGGGCAAATGCTCTGTGGGAGGGATCAAATCCCTGCGTACCCTAACCCTGAATCCTGGGGGTCCCTGGGCTTGCATATCTGATCGTTCTGGTTTCCAGAAAGTTCTGGAAAGTGATAGGTTATCCCAAGGGAAGCTGGGGATGGATGTCTGACCTTGCGCTACTCGACCTTCCCTCACCAAATACATAGCAAACCTCATGGCAGGTCTCAGGGACTGTCACGGTAAAAGCAAAATGCTGGAGAAGTGGTAGGAAACTCAGTCCTTTGAGGTTGGCTCAAGGCTTTACAATCTGGCGGCTGAAGATGTGTGGGTCCCACATCCCGCTCCCTGCTTTTGCCGCTCGGCCTGCGCTCTCACGCATTGAACGATCGTCCATGCTGAACTTCTGGTGCGGTCCTCTGAGCATCAGAGGGGACGGGTCAGTCATGAGATGGTCTTGGTTCCCAGTGTCCTTTCATTAGATGATGCTCTGCACACGGTACTGTGTAACACAAAGAAGCTATTGAAATGGAGGAGTATTTTCATGTTCTCATATCAGAGCCAAATGAGCAAAACATTAAAGAATAGTAGTTGAAATAGTTTCCAAATCAGAAAAAGTCCATTTCTCTGTGATTTTCTCATTCTGGTTCCTATTTATATTTCCCCTGGAGGCTGAGTTGTGGTTGTCATAGCAATTCTTTTTTATCTATGAAACGGATATTTTTATTATTTGTTCCTCATAGCAAGTCAAGGTCTATTCAAATCAAAGTATTTCCTTTAAAGTAATATCTGACCAGAATAGGTCCTTTAAGGTCTACCTCATCACCCTAATGTCTTGGACCTCTGAATTACAGGGTTGCTTAGGGCTCTACCTTGATGGGCCATAGCGAGCAGGTGGTCTGAAGAGCAGGTCCTGTGCCCACTGTGTTCTCTCTGCGTTTAGCACCCTCGGTGGCTTGGCGGCCACTGGGTATTCCCGTTGGGGCTTGTACAAAAGCGTCCTGGCTTCCACACCCAACGTCTTTGTTGGAGTTTGCTCCTTTTTCTCTCATCTTTATTCCCTTCCTTC